GGAGCACCGGAATGCTGCTTGAAGAACAAACGACCTGAACACACGAACAGAAAACGAACAAACACCCAAACGCTCGTCGTCACCACCGAGCGCTGCGTCCTTCGCTCGGCTCCTCTCCGTCACCCCGCTTCCAGCGCAGCAGGAGCTGCTGTTGAGATGTTCCCCCCCCGCATGGAGGGGATGGGGGGCGCCGCGGTGCGCTGTCGCTTTGGCAATGTCACAGGCAAAACGCTACCGAAAGAAAGGAAAAAGGGCACCGGTGCCGCGGGGTCGGCGTGGGGAAACCAACGGGCTGCGCCCGCTCTGCTCCGGAGCCTCTCGGGTATTGCAGTGATTGTGTCGTTAGCACGTGGCGAGCTACATAAGAGAAGATGCTACATTCCTTGGAACGAAAAGTAGTGCTGAGTTGGATTCTTCTGCCGAGTCTCTCGTTGCTCCCCGTTCCTCTCAGGGCAAGGAGCGAGATGGAAAGAAGGGAACGGCGTCTCCGTGCTCCCAGCATGGGAGGAGCGCGCCGGGAGCAGGGGATGTTGGGAAGGAGATCTTTAAAATTAAAAAAAAATAGGGAGAAAAAAAAAAAAAAAAGGATGGGATATTTACAGCCATCCACAGACAGTCCTGGGGGTCGGGATGGCTCTCCCTGCCCGGCTATGGGCAGGAGGGACTGGTGGAGCTCTCCAGAGAGGACTGGGAGAGGCGGCGTGCCAGCGGCCCGATGCTGGAGTCGGCCAGAGAGGAGGTGGGGAAGAGTTTGTACCAGCCCGCCACGGTGCTGGAGAGGTCGAGCTCCTCCAGGACGATCTGAGCCATGCCCATGAAGCACTTGCTGTCCATGCGCCCGTAGTCGCCCCACACGATCACCTGTGGGGCAGAGGTGGCATCAGGGGGGGGCGCCCTCAGGGGACGCCGGGCCCCGGCTCCATCCCAACCCCAGGGGCTGCCGGGGGGGTCACCTGCAGGACTTTGCCCTGGGGGCTCTCCTCGAAGAGCAGCGCCTGCTGGTACGAGGGGTCGCAGGTCTTCTTCACCGCTTTGGTCTTTTTCTTGGCCAGGCAGACGCCGTTTTCCAGCAGGTAAACCTTCACGTAGGTGGCTGCAGTGGGGAGAAGCGCTGACTCAGAGCAGCTCCTGGCGGCGTCCCGGCGCAGCGCCGTCCCTCGGCAGCCCACCTACCTGGGATGCATTTGGAGCCCATCTTTGGGATGAGGCCCCGTGCCTGGATCACCTCCACCTCCAGCTGCCCGCTGCGGTCCGCCATGCCCATGTGGACATCACCTGGGCAGGGGAAGGGACGCACCGCACTCAGCATCCTCCCAGCACCCGCCTCCTGCCGGCTGTCAGCTGGGCTGGTCCCCAGCCGTTGGGAAAAGCCACCTCCAGGGTTGGCAGCCCCAGTCGGAGAGTCGTTAAGGTTGGAATAGACAGCTAAGATCACCAAGTCAAACCATCGACCCACCCGGCCATGCCCACTGAACCGTGCCCCCTGCTGCTGCACTCAGCGTGCTGCCAGAAGCGCCCCGTGCACCCTGCAGGGTGCATCTATGCACAACCTGTGGCCCTGTTGCTCACTTCATGGTGGCCCTGGCAGAGCCAGGGGACAGGGAAAAGATGTGCTGGCATCCCAGTGGGGCTTTACAGCAAGGAATGAACCTGCGCATTCTCAAAACACACCTACTGCAAAAGCCAGAGATTTGGGGCTGCCCTACATTGTGGGGAGCAGGAAGGATCTCAGGGGAAGCCAGAGCTGCCGCGTCCGTCCCCCCCCCCGGAGATGCTCCAGCCCTGTGCCCTGATCAGGGACGTCCCCTTCCCTCAGCTGAGCCACACGCAGCCCCAGCTCCTGCCGTCCCACACAGCCCCGCTGCGCGGCGCAGCGCAGGCCCCCAGCACTCACCCATCGGGGGGGTGGCCAAAGTCTGCCGTCCCACCAGCTGCCCCGGGCCCAACCCATCCAGGAAGTCACTGAACTGACTTTCGGCTCCCAGCCGTGCGGTGGGGAAGATGAACCTGCGTGGGATGGAGCAAGAGATGCCGACGGGGCCCCGGGTGCCCCCAGCCGCCACGGCGCGCGTGTGCCAGCGGTCCTTACGTGCCGTCGGAGCTGTTGCTGTTCGTGCTGCCGTCGGTGGACTCGCGGCTGCCCTGCCGGGTCACCCTGGTCCTCAGCTCCACCGCGATGCCGGTCTCGGTGCTCCGGCGGATGTTGCTGCGCAGCTTTTTGGGGCCGCCCTCTGGAAGCCGAGGTGTGGGGTGTGAGGTGGTGGAGCCGCCATCCCAACCCCGTATCAACACCTCCAGGTCCCACTGATGCTGCTCTGTCTATGGCTGAGCCGTCCCTGTTGCCATCCCCGGGAGCAGCGGCGCCCGCTGTGCCGGCACCCCACTGCTGCTGTGTGTCCCCAGCGGTGGCAGATGGCGCAGGGAGGAGGGCACCCAGGGGAGGAGATGCCCCCAACCCCCACCGGTGCCACCAGGCCGATCCCTGCACTGCGCTGCCTCTGCCAGAGCGGGCAGGATGCCACGATCACCACTGGCATTGCTTGTAGGAACCTGCCAGCTCGCCGGGGTCTGTTAAGGTGAGCAGGGAAGGCCATGGCAGTGCTGCAGGAACCCTGAGAGGGAACCACGCATTGCTCTGCTGCAGCCACAGAGGATCGGGGATGGGCTGGGGAGGTGCAGCCCCATTGCTGGGAGCGCTCCTGCCTGGCCCTGGCACCCCTCAGTTCTGGGATAACGATGTCCCTCCTGGAATGTCTGGGATGTGTGGGGCTGCAGGGCTCCAGATGGGCACCTCTCGTTACGGAGAGCGTTCCGACTGATGGAACGCCAGCAAGGCCACTGAACTGAGCCATAACCAAAGCACTAAACTGAGCCTTTCTCCCTCCTTTGCCTTCTGCAAAGCCTCTTGAAGCACTTCAGTATTTCCCACAGCCGGAGATCACTCGACTGGCCCTTTCCACACATCAATTTTTCGGGGTGTTTTAACCAGAGCGGTGCAGGCGCCCACTGCAAAGCAACGGGGACCCGGCCGTGCTCACCGCTCTGGTTGAGCTGCAGCGTGCTCCTGCTCCACTGCGACAGCCCCACGATGGCCACCATCTTGGCTCCCAGGCTGGAGCGCCGCTTCTTGCTGGCCGTGATGCTGACGGAGTCGGCGCTGCCCCGCGCGCTCTTCTCCACGCCGTACATCTCCCCGCTGATGCTGGAGCTGCGCACCACATTCCTGCCCGCCGACGGGCCGGCGTCCCCGTTGAACATGGTGAGGCGTCGCGGGGTGGGATCAGCTGCAGGGACAGCGGGGCGGGTTGGGGGGCACTGCGGTACCCACAGGTGCTCAGCTGGATATTCGGGGCACCCCGAGGTGGCTGCGTGCCTTGTGGCTGCACCACCGCCAGCCCGACGGCCCAAACCCCACCACGGCCGTGGCTGTGCCCACCCCGATCCCCCATGCCCAGCACCACGCTGGGTTTCCAGCCCTCACTGCTTCCCTTCCCCATGAATATTTAAAGCGCGGCGGGATGGGAGGCATCCATCTTCCAGGCAGAGGTGAATGATGAACTGCGGGCCAAGTGAAGCCACTTTAGGATAATGGATGGAGGCAGCGCCCGGAAAAATATTTCTCTTTCAAGAGACGCAGCCACAAACGCAGAGGAGAAGTGGCAGCTGCCAGTGGGGCAGCGCAGGGCATGGAGCATCACGAAGGAGACGCAGCGCAGAGGGGACACGGATCCCCACGGCGCCGATGTCGCCCAGCAGCACCCCGGCACGGCGCTCAGTTTTGGCAGAGCTTTGGGGCACGGCTGCCTCTGGCCGTGAGGAAGGGAGCCCAAATGCTCACCCCAACTCTGTGCACGCTGCTCCCTGCCTCAGTTTCCCCCCAGCCGTCCCTGAGCACAGCGACCCTGCAGGACCCAACGCGCCCCAAAACGGCGCACAAAGGGCTCCCAGCACTGTGCTCCCCACTCGGCACGGAGCTTTGCTGGGAGCAGACGACATGATGGCAGCGCCGTGGCAATAGCATGGTTTCACTAGGGATCCCACCCCGGAGGGAGGAGGGATTTGCTGTACTCCCGCAGCCCGGCCCGCACGCCGCACCCCTTTGCCCACCCTCTGCATTTCATCTCCTCCCCGTGGCAAAGCACTGCGATTCTGACAGCTGCAGCCCCTCCGCTCCGTGCCCCACGGCTCCGACCCACAGCCCAGATGGGCCCGGAGCGACGCCGCGGCCGTGGCGTCCCTGCACTGCTGTGCGACGGCCCCGACACGAGCTCCGCGCCGCGTTCCGCGCCCACCCTGCACGCACCCCCCCAAATAGCACGAGCTCCCTTACCTGAGAGCAGCGCCCCGCGGCCCCCCCGCCCGGCACGCAGCCCCCGGCCCCTCTATGGGAGGAGGGTGGCAGCCCGGGCACGCTGCACGGGTTTCTGGAGAGCGGCGTTGTGCCGGCGCTGCTTCAGCATCTCCATGGTGACATGGCTGACCCAGTTCTCCTCCCAGCCCTGAGCGAGCGGGGGCACGCAGCGGTGGTCCGGGGGGGAGTGGGGGAATGTGGGGCGGTGCCAAGGAAAGGGGGCAGCGGGAGATGCGGTGGGGTGAGGTGGGATTCGAGGGGATGCGGTGGGACGTAGTGAGATGAGCTGGGATCCGGTGGGCTGCAGGAGGTTACGATGGGATGCGGGTGATGTGCGGCGGGGTGCGACGTGCAGCAGGAGGTGCAGAGGGCTGGGGTGGGATGCGGGGGGACGGGGTGGGACGTGGTGGGACACGATGCAGCGAGATGCAATGGGATACGGGATGGATGGGATGACGTGGGATGCGATGGAATGCAGTGGGCACCCCGGACCTGCTGGGGAAACTGAGCTGGGAAAAGGGGGATGAGGAAGCTCAGAGGGTCACAGGCATTTGAAGGACCAGGGTGACAACGGAGCCCCAGCATCCCGGTGACCCCGCATGGTGCTACCCGGGGCTGTGAGAGAGCCCGACCCCAAACATCCCACCACCACAACAGCAATAATTGTAACAACAACAACAGGAAAATTGGGATGATGCTTTGCCAAGGGCTCCGGGGGGAGGGAGGAGCTGAGTGGTGCCCCACACAGGTGGGGAGCAGCCCCTGATGATGGGCGGGGAGAGCAAGATGGGGGGAGAGGAGGTGATAAATGAGTGCCCCATGGCAGCTCTTCCCCTGGATGGAGGGCACAGAGGGGACTGGCCCTGCTTGTCCCCATGCAGGGGGGCTCCCCGTGCTCTGGGGCTGCGGGGGGGGGGAGCCTCAACAGCAGGTGGGGGCACTCAGCCCATGCTTTTAGGGAAAAGCCCACCTGCTGGGGGTGCTGCTGCGAGGTCACAGCTCACCAGCATGCTCTCCTCCTTGCACTGAGAGAAAGCAAGGCTCGATTTCCCCTAAAAGTACTTAATTGTAATTAAATGCTTCGGGTTTGATAGGTGATTGCTCAGCTCAGCTCAACTGCCCAGCAAGGGGCGTCGCTCGGTGCACCTGAGCCGGAAACCAGCGCAATGCAGCCCAGGTGAGGACAGCAGGGACCCGGAGGTGGCGGTCCCATATGGGAGCATCCTTTAGTCCTGCCGTGCACACATCACGCTTTGGCTGCGGGGTTTTCTTCCCCAGCCCCGAAGCACAGCTCACCCGCAGCCCCCCGGTGCCACGGTGCTCCCAGCAGGGGCCGGCAGCGGCTCTGGGATGGGGAGCTGCGAGCAGCACCTCCCCACAGCCGGTCTGTCGATGGGTGGCAGCACCCACCTCTGCCCCCACGCTCGGCCCCCCCCCCAGACGCCGTCCCTCTCCCCCTGTCCCTGTTTGACGTCTGCCACGCGGTTAAATCAGATCTGCGCTGAATCCCATCGTTTCCACGGCAACGTGGAGGAATCCGAGGACCCAAAGCCGCCCGGCGGGGCTGCGGTGGGGGGCAGCGACGCTCTACGGACCGCATCGGGCAGCCCCACCGCTCCGTGCTCGGTCCCCAGCCCCGAGCCCCTCTTGGGGCCGTGCTCCCCACAGGGCCGTTGCTTATGGGGCTGCCCCGCTTACGGAGCTCTCCCCACAGAGATTCCCCCGCGGGGTCGGCAGTGGGGCCGGTGCCGATGCGCACGGAAGGGCCGCTTGCTGACGGCGTTTCCCATCCCCTCCGCTTTCCGCCTTCGCGCCGCCCGGCCCGGAGCTCCGCAATGCAGCTCACAGCGCTCAGCGCTGCGCGAATCCCATCAATATTTCATGGAGCCGCTTCCTCCAGGGGAAGGGCTGCGCTCGCTCTGCTTCTGCCGCTCCCAGCAGCGCTCCTGCCCTGGCGGAGATCATCCCATTTCCTTCCCCTGGCAGCCAGCCCCCAGCAGCCCCCCCCTTCCCTTTCCTTTTCCAAATGAGCCACCAGCGCTGCGCCTTTCGGGGCTGCACCCTATGCGAGCTGCGAAGACCCCTCAGGTGGGAATCAAAGCCCCCGCTGATTTCTGCCCTGCGATGCTCGAGTGCAACGTGTTGGGATGACGGGGGCAGCTCCGGGATGGGCACTTGGACCCCCCCAGCTCCGTGTGCAGCACTGAGCGCTGAGCACAGCCCCATAAGGCAGCATGGGGTCCCTCCTGGCTGCGCCCGCGCTGCCCACAGCCCAGCAGGTCAGGTGCAGCGTTTGCAGAAAAGTTGTTTGTTGGTTGTTTTTTTCTTTAGATGCTAAGGCTGCACAATTACAGCACCGCTTCTGAAGGGATCAGCAGAAAAACTTGCTTTGGGAAGACTTCTGTGAGCCGGAGCCATGCCAGGAGAGCGCGGGAGCACAGAGCTGCCCACAGCAGCACCCAGCACTGCCTCAGCCCCCACCCACCCCGACGTGGGAGCCTCGTTGGGGACACTGCCATGCACCCATGTCCCCTCCTCGCTCCATCACCCCACAGCCAACACGTGTGCAAACAGCAAGCGGCGCCCCCAGCTCCAGGGGTCCCCCTGCAAAAGGTGAGGGGCTCTGGGGCACCCCCTGCCCCCCACACAGCCCCATGGCACAGCGACCCGTGTGGGACCCCTAGGTGGGGAAGGCAGCCGTGCAGCACATCAGCCACGCTGTCAGTCCTGCTCTAAATCACTACAATGGCGACAACGTGAGCCTGTTTCCCTGCTATTAGAGATGCTGTGACACAACATCTTGGAGAGCATTGAAATGGATGCAAGGAGATGGTGCCGTGCGGCTCGGCTCCTAACAAGCAGGAGGGTTTGGTGTTTTCATAAGCTGAAATTGCGCTGTGCATCACCAAGATGCTCCCACACGGCTGTGGCACAGCGGGACTGAGCTCAGCTCAAGTGGGATCAGAAGCGACAGCACAGGGATGGAGCGGGGGGGTGGCTGTCCCTGATTTGGGATGCATGAGGAAGGATGGAGGCATCGCACAACGCAGGCGGTGCTTCAGGGATGGGCCTGAAACGGGGCCGGAGAGAGAGCTGCGAGTCAGGGCGTGAGCTGGGGCAGCAAATGGATGGCAGAGAGGGCACAGAGCATGGGGAGATGGGGGAGTGCAGCAGAAGAGCTGGTTTGGGAGAGGCTCTGGTGCAGGAGGAAACGGGCACAGTGCTGGGGATGGAGGGGAGAAGCTCGGGGCAGCAGCCCAGCCTGAGGCTGTGTGCTCTGCGCTCCAAACCCCAGCGGTGTCCTCAGCACGTGGGGAGCTGCAGGACCCCACAGTCACCACAATGCAGGAAGGAAACACGCAGCACAGCCCCAGGGCTGCGGCCTGCATCCTGCCGTGCCCTTTGGCTCGGGGCTGAGGGCCCTGCTCACAATTTGTGCTTCCCTGCAGCCGTCACCAAACCCCGTGCGCCGCAGCACCGTGGGGACGGACGTTGGCCCACCCCATAGCGCCGGGTCCTGGGGAACTCTGTGTGTGTGTGGGGTGAGGAACAATGTGGGCGCCCACCCCACAGCCCCACACCACCACCCCTGGGGACTGCGCTGAGATGTGAGAGCAGCCACTGCTCCTGAGCAGCACCGCCCGGCTCCGGTCCGTGCTGCAGGGCCAGAGTGACGCCCATGGCTTCCTCCTAACACAGAGCCCCAGTGGGGCCCCTGCCCACCCTGCAGCACCGTTTCACTCCTCCTTAGCAAACCTGTGAGGGGTTTCCCTGCAGGACCACCCGCAGCACCTGGCTGTGTGCGCGCAGAGGGCACAGCAGGACTGACAGCACAGCGGGACCGATGGACACAACACAGTGCAACTGATGGGCATGGCACAGCAGGACCGACGGACGGAGCAGAGCAGGACCGATGGACACAGCACCAGCGAGAGGTGAGGTGAGCGCCGGCATTCTGCGGGTTGGGGGCTGCGATGCGAACCCCCTCCCCCCCCCCCAGGCCGGGCCCCCCCCCCCCCTAGGCCGGTCGCTGCCCCCGTGTCCCCCCGCGGCGGGGCCAGGCTGGCACGGGACCGGGTTGGCCTTAAACGGGTTTTCGGCGGGGATGACGGATGGCAGAGGGACAGCGCTCCCGGTCCCGAGCCGCTCTGGGAAGCGCTGCCCCGCCGCCCCGTTCAGAGCTCCGGTGCTCGATTCCAGCAGCGCCCGACCCGGAGCCCCCGATCCGAGCAGCCCCCGCCCTTCGGGGCTCCCTCCCTTTCCCGAGCATCCCCCAGTCGCGCCGCCCCCCCCCGGCCCCGCTGCCGCCCGCGACGCTCGGGGCAGGTGCGGTCCCGCCGGGTCCCGGAGCGCCGCGCCCCGCGGGCACTCACCCACCGCTGCCGCCGCCGCCGCCGCCGCCGCCCGTGCCCGCTCCTCCCCTCGGCCCCGGCGGGTGCTGGGAGCGGCGGGCGGGGGAGCCCCGACGGAGCGGGCGGCGGCGGAGAGGGGCTGGAGGAGCCGCGGGGAGCGGGGCCGCTGGGGGCAGCCCGAGGGCGGCCGGGGGAGCCCGCCGTGCCCGCGCCTGTGTGGGGCTCGTGCTCATCGGCCGGACCCCAGGAGGCGCCGGACCGAGCCTGAGCCCACCGCTCAGAGCCCAAGAGCTGCCACGCTGACCCTCCTTCCACCATCCGGACCTTAAGAGCTCCCAGCTGAACCTCACCCGCACCCCAAAAGCCACCAGCCCGACCCCATACCCAACAATCGGAGTCCCCAAGAGGTGCCAGCAGGACGCTGTACCTGGCAAACAGACCCTGAGAGCCGCCAGGAGACCCTGTGTCTGTTGGTTGGACCCCTGAGCTGGCTCTTCTTCCACCATCTGAACCCCAGGAACCAGCACCGAGACCGAGAGCCCCCAGCTGCACCTCGCTCCCCATCACCCAGAGCCCCCCAGCAGGCTCCACACCCACCAAGCAGCCCCAGAGCCTCCGGCCATGCCTGCAGCCATCAGCCTATGGGTGGCTGTGGCGGATGCCGTGGGGGCAGAGGGAACACACAACCCTCTGGGATGCGGTGACCCCAAATCATCAGCCGCCATCCCTTGAGCAGGGACCATAGGGGGGCTTTGCCCGGTGCCTGAGCGCAGCCCTGCCAGGGAACGGGGTGCATTTTGTGCCTCAGTTCCTTCTGAAGGAGGCAGACGGTCGGAGCAGAGGGGCTGCGATGTCCCGCGCTGCCCTTGGACTCACCTTGGCTCCCCAAAGATGAACACTAACGTCCCCCGGAGCCGCTTCTCTTTTCGCTCATGGTGAATTCCTGCAGTGCTCTCCCTGCGTTCCCTCCGCGGGCTGCGCACCCTTTGACATGGCAGCCACGTGCCACGAGGAAACCCTCCTTCACCAACTTTAACTCTGTCTCTCCCTCAAATAACAGCAGGCTCGGATTGCCCTGCGCTCCCCGCTGCACGGCGCGGGGGTCCCGGTGGCAGGCAAAGCCCCAACGGGGTCCAGGCAGTGAGCTGGGGTTTGCAGGTGGGAAAGTGCAATTTGGGGGGCAGAGAGGATGGGGAGAAAATCCCCTCGGGGTGCTGCAAGGGAAGGGGAAGGCAGGGACACAGCAGGGACACGGCAGGGACACGGCAGGGACACGGCAGGTCTCAGTGCCGGGCACAGGAAGGCTGGGGAAGGAGCAGGAATAGCTGAAAGAACTAAATATGGAAACTTGGATAAAACAGAGCTGAAGTAGGGAGCCGGTTTCCTAACAGAATTCAAAGCATATAAACAAAGTCGGGGAGGGAGAGAGGTTGTCTGGAGGGGGCCTTTATGAGTAATATTTAGAAAAACGGGCTGGAAATGTCTCTTGGGGAAAGGCAATTTCATCAAAGCGGGTCTGCAGCTTTGTGGTGTCGGCGTAGTTCTGGGAACACGTTGTTTGTGGGGAAGAGGTGCTCAAAACGCACGCCTCGATGGTGGAAAGCAGCTCCTTAATTCACTAAGGAGCTCAGCTTTGCCGGCTTCCCACCACCTTCTCCTTTGCGTTTTGGTGCTGTGTCGGAGGAAGGAGTTGTTTAATGTGATTACTGCCGTCAGGGCGACTTAAGAAGATTAATGGGGCTCAGCTTTATGGTGTTGCAGGGGCTGTGGGCAGCAGGCTCAGGTCCTGCACCCGCAGGGAGCTCAGCTGCTCGCTGCAGCGGCTCCCTGCACCCAATGGAGGCAGCCTGCCGGACCTCAGAGCCCCACATCTGACCCAAAATGGCTTCTTTCTTCCCTCCCAGCTCTACGAGGCGACGCCTCTGCGTCCAGGCGGATCTCAATTATTCACATCCAGATTTTTCTCTTCTACGTGTTTCCTTGCTTGGGGATGCTTGCCCCAAAGCAACAGCTGGTTTGGGATTAGTGCAGAGGACTGCTGTAACGGGAGCCAGGTGGGATGGGAGAGGGCTGACTGACGGGAGGGAGGCCAGGATTGCAACCTCTGCTGTAGCATCCAATTTCCATAAGCGTCAAACAAACCCAGCCCTCCTGAAAGCCGGCTGGAGTCTGCAGTCAGTGCAGAACAGCTCCTCTGGGTCTCATTGCTGGCGCAGGAGGCCCTGGTTGAGCAGGTAGCAGATGTCAGTAAGTGCGAAATCAACAAACCACCACAAGAAAATTACACAGGCACCAATAAACCAGAGAGCGGAAAAAAAGCTGTTGTGGTTGTTGTTGGGTTTTTGTTTTGCTTTTTTGTTTGTGTTTGTTTTTCTTGGCTCCTCCGCGTTTCGGGCAGGCTGACACAAGAGATCGCTGTGTCTGCAGATGGCTGCGATCCTTGGGGAAGCCGAAGCACCCCAGACAATGCATGCATTGCTGCTGAGAGCAGGTGGGAAGGAAACGGAGCATCACGGGCACAGGGTGACGGCACACAAAGGGATTCAGCAGGAGAAGGGGTGGATGCTGTGCAGAACGCCCTCCTTCAGCAGGGAAACAGCTGGCTGGTTGGGCAGCTGGGCCCGGCAGCAGTCAGCAGCAGTTCTGGCTAATTGATTTAGAAATGAGTCATTTCAGCAAGGGGCTGCTTTGCAGATCATCGCTCCCAGTCACTGCAAAAGGAGATTAGCTTAGGAATAGTGAGAGCTGGGGGGAGGGAGGGTATACTTTTAAGGAAAAGCTGTGGCACATCTCTTATTTCTTTTGGCTGCTCTGCCTCGCGAGTGTCCCCAAACCGCAAAGCTGCAAGACTTGCAATAAAACTGCAGGGATTTGCTGCATTTTGGTGCCAACAAGCAGTCTTAAGGGCAACTTAGCTCTGAAACCCCAACGAACGTGGCAGAGGAGATCTGTCCTGTTTCCTACAAATGCACCCGTCTGTCTGTCTGTGTGTTGTCTGTCAGGCTGCAGCACTCCTCCTCCCACGCAGGGCACACAGCTCCCCGGGCCTGGCTGTAGACAAGGCCGCGCCTGGAGGCCTCGGGCCTGCAGGAGCCCAGCGCAGGCCCAGGCCAAAGCCTTGGCTGCTCCCTCAAGGCCCGGACAGCTCCCTCGCTCCGCTCCCTGCGGCCTGGCCCCGCTGCTCCCCGCCGTCCCCGCTCTCGGTCCCGCCCCACGCCCCGCCCGTTGGCTCCCGCCCCGGCCCCACCGCCTCCCGCCCCGACGAAATCTCGCGAGATCAGCCCCGGGTCATGCGCCTGCGCGGTGAACCGGTCCAAGGGGAAGGGGCGTGGCCTCCGCCCCGCCGCCTCACGGGTCCGCCGCCATCTTGTTTCTCGGCCGCCGGGCGCGCGCTCTGCTCCGGACGCACCCCTCCCCCTCCCTCCCGCCTCCCGCCAGCCGGGCCGGAGGCAGCGCGGCCGCCGGGCGGAGGAGGCGGAGGTCGCGGCGCCGACCGGTACGGTGAGTGAGCGGAGGGCGGGTTGGACGACGGCGGGGGGGAGGCGGCGGCCTAGTGAGAGCCGTGGGGCGGGGGCGGTGCGAGGGATTCTCCCCCTCCCCCCTCTTCGGCGGCGCTACTCCGATTGGCGCAGACTCACCGCGCGCGCTGATTGGCCCATGCGGAGGGAGGCGGGCGAAAGAAGCCGCGCGCTAATTGGCTGCTGAGAGGCGGACCGGGGAGAGGACGGGGAGCCCAACCGTTTCCCCGCGCAGCGCGGGGTGGGGGCGGCGAGGCCTAGGCGAGTCTGTGCCTGTGTGTGGGCCCTGCTGCGGACAGCTCGGTTCCGCGTCCTGTTACCAGTTGTTACCGATACCCGTTTGTTTTGGTTTATTTTTATTTTTTTTTTTCTCCGCACGCCTTAGGAGGGGCTGGGCCGGACAGAACTGTGCTGTGTGCGCGGCTCTGTGCTGAGTCCTGAGCGGTTCCTGAGAGAAGGACAGAAGTGCGGCCCAGGGCCAACAGCTGTTGCGGTCGGCTCGGTTCCATTCAGGCCGTATTGTTCCCTATCTGCTGGCTGTGGAGCAGCGGCAGGCTCAGAGTGCTCACAGGGAATGAACGGCGCTGGTGGCCCCTTGGTCTGCAGTCTGCCTCCTCGTGGTGCTTTGTCTGCAGGCAGCGGATATGGGGGTCCAGCTGGTTCTGCAGCGCAGACTGCAAACATGGTCTTAGACACAGCACACACACCTGGCTCATCAGACAGCAGGCACTGCTGTTGCCCGTGGCAACATCGCATGTCTTTTGATAGGTATATCCACGCTTTTTTTAAACGAGGTTATGTTTTTGGTCAGAGCTGCTGTTATTACATTGAGCCTCATTCCAATGCTGGCCTAAAACCGTACGGCAGCGCATTGTCCCTTGTGCATTAGTGACAAACGGGCACAGCCTGTCGTGATGCTGCTGGCATTGCACGGCCCTGTGTGACCGCTGGGTTTGGTGCAGCGGGTACCGCTGACCGCGGGATGCAGAGGTCGGGCAGAGCCTCCGCTTTCATTCTATTTGTTGCGATTTCCCGGCATCGCTTCCGAGCGGCGGGTGGGTGCCCTGACTGGCGGCCCCGCAGCGCTGCCCGCCAACCCGGCCCCGCGCTGCCCAGGGAACGGCTCTGCGCTCCGCCCTCCCGCGCGGCCCCGTGACTCGCCGCCGGAGGAGGGGGCGGGCGTTGCTGGAAGCGATAGCCGCGCTGGCCAATCAGCGGCGCCGCGCGGCCCCTCCGCGTGTCAGCTGGCCAATAGGCATCGCCGAACGGGAGAGGAGGGCGCAAGGCCGCGCCGCCGAGGGGGCCGCGGGCGGGCGCCGCTCTGACCCCTGCGCTGCCTCTCAAGGTAACTTTAAAGCAGGAAGCGGACGGCCGGGGCGAGCTGCCGGCGACAGCCAATGAGCGCGCGGGGTCGCGGCTCCCCCCGGCGGCGCTCAGCCAATGGGCGCGGCGGGGCGGGCGCAGCAGGGTAGGCTGAGCGGCGTCTGTTAAAGGGGCCGGGGCCCCGGTCCGGCGGGGACGCGGAGTCCCGGCAGGCAGGGGTCAGCTCAAAGACAAAGGAATGGCGGACCGGCCCGGGACGCCTGGGGGCCGCGGCCCCGCGGCATCATCCCGTCTCGCCCGGCGGCCAGCCTCCGCGGCCCGGTGAGTTGGTGGTGCTGGCGGGGGCCGCGCGGGTTAGGCGGGGGGCGGCCGCGGCCCGGTGACAGCGCAGAGATGGCACCGCCCGGCACCGCGCGGGGCCTCCCCTCTGCAACGACGGACGGGGCTGCGGGTGCGGGCGCGGCTCGACGCCCCGGTCTGAGCCCCCGGCGTCGGGGAGGCGGGGGGTGCGGGCGGGCGGCCGAACGGAGGGGTCATCCCGGGCTGAGCTGTGCGCGGGGCCGCGCCGCCAACCGGGAGCGTGGATCGAGGGGGGGCACAAAATGGCAGCGCCTCCCCCGGTGCCCGCCGAGCTGCAGGGCTGGGGAAGGGGGAGGGAGATGAAGGGGGATGCGGGAGCCGGCGCTGACGCCCGGCCTCTGCGGCCCGACGGCACCGTGGGCATTGGGCCCCCAGCCGCCCCCGGGCTTCTGCCCGCAGCCCTTTTGTTTTCTCTCCCATTTGCCACCCAACACTGAAGGTCACTGAGAGGCCGAGTGCCGCTGGGCACACGGCACGGCCAGCGAGATGAGAGTGACACGGGTGAGCAGGCAGCCCCGGGGGAACCAAGCCTGGGCCTGGAGCCGGTGCTGAGCTGCAGCCCAGTGCCCGAGTGAGGCCTCCCCACATCAGCAGCAGTGACCTTGAGATGCCGCGGCTCCCGGCCTCCAGAATGAAGGACAAAGTTTGTTGACGGCACTTTGGCTGGGAAAAAAAAAAAAAAGAATGCGAGTTGAAAAATGAAGCTGCTCCCCTCGCCCAGGGCAGAGAGGGCATGGGGAATGGTGTGCAGCTCAGCATGAAGTGCACATCGCAGGCATTCCTCGCCCTGCACTGCAGCGGGATGTTGGGTGCTGCCGGCACGTCCTTGCCCACTTCAGGGCTTTTCAGCTGCTAATTGTTGGCTTCAGAATTGCTGTTCTCAAAACTGGAGGTAATGATGTTGTGCACCTGATGTCAGAGCTGGGTACGTTCCCTGAGCTCGGCTGATGCCACCTGTAACTGAGGGACCACACTGGGCTCTGGCTGCAACCTGAGTGCTTTTTGAGTTGCTGCAGCCTCTGAGTGTCACTGGGTATTTTAATTCCAATAC